GGCGAGCACAGTGAACACATAGCGCGGGGGTCAGGCAACGACACACCGCAGAAACAGCAAGACAGGCACCCATCGGCGGTCCTGATGTGACGTTGGCGAGGTGCTCCTGAGCCAAGCAAACGATTGGGTCAGGGCTCGGCCAGAGGGAGGTCAGTTATCATCGCCCCCCCAAACAAACGACACGCAGTACGAGACGACGGAGGAGCACAGCGCACCCTATCTTCGCGCCAAGACGAGGGGAGAGGGAACGTACTGCACCAGTCACCCTTCTCTTCATCTCGTCACTCCACAATGGCGATCGCTGACCTGTCAGCAAGCGTGGGCGGTCCTCGCGAGAAGCGAGCAGCAACGGCAGGAGGCGGGGCAGTGCTGCACGGCGGCCACGGGCGGCTGGACAGCGAGCGTCCTGCTCGCGCGAGAGCCTGGCCCGCGGCCGCACGGGGAGGGCGCATATATGGGCCTGGCAGCGCGGGGTGCGCGTCGGGTGCACCCGCCGGGGAATCACGGGGGCCCCTGAGCCTACCCTGCAGCGCTGCCCGAGCCACGGGCGCAGTCGGTCGGAGGACCCCGCGGCCGACGGCCGCCGGGGGACCAGGGGGCGGCGGCGCCGAACGAGCAGGGGCGGTGCGGCCGAGGGAGCAGGGGCGGTGCCGAGAGAGGCTGCGCAGAGAGGAGCACCCTCCCCGACCAGGTCCCTGACCACATCCCCACCCGTCACGCAACCTCGCACTGTGTGGTCAAGGAGGCCGAGCCCGAAAGGGGGGGTCTGCAGCCCAAGGGGCGACTGCGCGACGGTGCTGCTCACGCTCGCGTGCCAATCGCTCACGTCTGCGCTCGCGCGCCTGCGCACGATTGTGCTCGACGCGCCCGCGTAGCTCATCAGTGAGAGAGAATGAGGGAGGCTGAAGAGGAGGGGGATGGTGGACCGGGGAAAACGAGGTGTAATGATGAGAATGAGGGAGGAGGGATCATTTGAGGGAGGACGGATGAGGTTGGAGAAAGGGGGCAGGCGGGAGGAGGGAGGAAGCGGAAAGAGGAACCTGAGGGGGAGGAGGACGAGGAGGAGGAGGAGGAGGAGGAAGAACAGGCGGAGCCCTGGGGCTAAACATCGCTCCAGAGCGGAGAAGGAAGAGGCGGGACCAGGAGCAGGAGGAGGAGGAGTGCGGTCAGGCACTCTTTGGCTTAGCCTGTCGCGCCGCCAGTTCCGGCCCACCGCGCGGCGGCGCGACGCGCCATCCACTTCGCGGTCCCGGGGCGTCCACGTCCCGAGCCTTGCCTGGCCCCCCCGCCCCGCGGAGCGGAGCGGCGTGCTGTCCGCGGAGCGGGGCGACGCGCAAGCTATATATATATATATATGTGTGTGTGTATATAGGCGCAGCGTGTCGCCGGGGCTGCCGCCACGACGCGCCAGTGAAGAGTTCCCGACCCTGGCAGGGCGGAGCATCGCCGAACATGAAAGGAAACCCGTTTTTTGTGTTGGAAGGACTCAGGAATGTGAGGATGCATCTGTTACGTTGATTTGCGGTGTTGAAGTCCCAGGAATGGTGTTCTGACACGGTTCTGGATCGTCAAGACGCCAGGTTGATCCGTGGATATTCGGAGGAGGCGGCAGAGGCCTTCCCCGAGGCATGTTCTTCGTGCCAGAGGTTGCTCGGTTGTCTCAGCGCACGCGAGCGTGGCCGGGCACAACGAACATTTTTTCGCCCCGATCTGCTTGAAGACGCTGGAGGTCACCGCGCAATCCCCCCCCAGACCTGTCCTGGGGTTACCCTCGGCCAGAATGTCGAGGCGAATCCGGCCTTGGTGACGAGAGCGTTCCTGGATTGAAGGGCAAAGTCTACCTGCTTCTAGAAGGCCAATGTCTGGGGCATATGCCAATTGCCGCATTCACTTTCTGGCCACAGGCGGCCATTGACAAATTGGGTGTCGTTACGTAGATAGGCACATGCGGGGTCCCTCGGCGGCTGAGAATAAAACCGTCTCCTATCGGTTGCGTCAGAAGATGCGCCCTCGGCGGCCGAGAATGAAACCGTCTCCCATCGGTTACGCCATAAGTTGCGCCCTCGGCGGCTGAGAATAGAACCGTCTCCGATCGGTTGCGCCATAGGTTGCGCCCTCGGCGGCCGAGAATAAAACCGTCGCGGAACGGGTGCGACCAGTCTGTTCAATTCAATTCAGTTGGGTCAGTTTACCTCGCGAGAAACGAATTCGGGCTGCGCCCGAAAGAAGCCCCTCCCCCCCCCTCTCATTGCCATCCCGCGCGACGCACTGTCCCGCCTCCCCCCCCAAACGGCCCCAAGAGGCTTCAAAACTGCCCCCAAGAGGCCCTCGAGAGGCATCCCACGATATCCAAACGAACATCCAAGAGGCCTCTAAACCACAGCCCAGGCACGGTGGCGGGATGGGCCGAAGGCCACTATCCGCCGCCCCCTGTTGATTCATCACAGGGGTGCCTGGCGTGCTGAACCCTATAGGTTTTGGTTTTGGTTCTTTTTCCAAAAGAACTCCCCCTGGGGCTTCGGCCCGTCCCGCCGGCCACCCGGAACGCGCTCAATTCCCCAATCTCGCGGGCTTTTTCGCTCAAGATGGCCGAAGATGGCCTCCAAGATGCCTCCAAGACGGCCAAGATGGCCTCCAAGGCGGCTAAGATGGCCCCAAAATGTTTCCAAGACGGCCCAAGATGCACCCACGACCGCCTAAGATGGCCTCAAGATAGCCCAAAAATGGCCCAAGAGGCTCCCAAGAGGCCTCCAAGACGGCCCAAGACACCCCCAAGAGGTCCTCCAGGAAGGCCAGAAGAGGCCACAATTATTGATTTTCCTTTGGTTTTCGAAGGATTTTGGCATTTGCGCCTTTTCGGCTTTCCGACGGCTCCAGGCGGCCCAAGAGGCCCCCAAGATCGCCCAAGAGGCCCCCCAGAGGGCCCCATGACGGCCCAAGTGGCCTCCAAGACGGCCCCAAGAGGGCCCCCAAACGGCACAAGAGGCCTCCAACACACCCAAGATGGCTTCCAAGACGCCCAAGATGGCCTCCAAGACGGCCCCGAAGCGCCCCAAGAGGGCCCCAAGTCGGCCCAGAAAGGCCCCCAAGACGGCTCCCGACGGCGTCAGACGTGCCAGGAACCCACCAAGATGGCCGAAGTTGGCTTGAATCTGGCCCAAGACGGCCCAAGAGGCCCCCAAGAGGGCCTCCAGGAAGGCCAGAAGAGGCCAAAAACATTGATTTCCCCAAGGTGTTTCACGGATTTTGGCATTTGCGCCTTTTGGGCCTTCCGACGGCCCGAGACGGCCCAAGAGCCCCCGAAGATCGCCGAAAGATCGCCCAAGAGGCCTCCAAGATGGCCCCATAACGGCCCAAGAGGGCCCCAAGATGGCCCCAAGAGGCGCCCAAGACGGCACAGGAGGCCTTTAAGACGCCCAAGATGGGCCTCCAAGACGGCCCTGGAGCATTCCAAGAGGACCCCACATCGGCCCATAGAGGCCCCCCAAACGGCTTCCGACGGTTCAGACGGACAAGGAGCCCACCAAGACGGCCGAACATGGTCCTAAGATGGCGCAAGACGGCCCAAGAGGCCTCCAAGAGGGCCTCCAGGAAGGCCCGAAAATGCCAAAATCATTGATTTCCCATGTTTTTTTGAAGGATTGTGGCATTTGCCTTTTTTCTGCCTTCCGACGGCCCAAGGCGGCCCAAGTGCCCCCAAAGATCGCCCAAGAGGCCCAAGACACGGCCCCAAGAGGCCCCCAAGACGGCCCAAGAGGTCTCCAAGACGTTCAAGAGGGCCTCCAAGACGGCCCAAGAGCCCTCCAAGACGTCCTCCAAGAAGGCCCGAAAGGGTCAACATGGCCTCCAGACGGCCAAGATGACTTTCAAGATGCCCACGTGTTCCTCGAAGGCTTTCCAAACCGATTCGGGGAACACATGGTCTGATAGCTTGGCAGGTCTGGCCTCAACGTTCGGCCACATAGGCGCTTCCAAAAAGGCAGGGGGCGGCGGTGATTCGCCGTAGGCGTCTTCGATCACGCGCGCCGAACCCCGCCCCCCCCCCCCCCCCCAAACACGTGACACAACCCTCCCACGCCCCGCGACGGGGAAGGGCAGCCCACTCATTTACACCCCCCACACGACTCACTCCCCCCCCTGCTGAGCTCATTGAACAGCTCAGGGCACCCCTCCCTTTCAGAGTCAGATCAGTGTTCCGATCATGGCTCGAGTACCAGACCGAACTCAGGAATCTGGTAGCTGGAGGGAAAAAACTACCTGTCGTGCCCGCGTGCGCGGACAAGCAGAGCCCTGAACTCGTTCTGAAACCCGAGATTTAGGCCAACAGAAGTTCTATAACGCAGAAGTGTCCCTCGATGGGGTGCTATTCGCTCGACGCGCCCGCCTCCAGGGGGCTGGAGGGGCCGCGGCGGCGCCCGCGGCCGAAAGGGGCATCCTGCAGACGGCGCCGGAGGAGGCGGAGGGCTTCAGCGGCCTGGTGCCGGCGCCCATGGGGCTCGACGAGGACCAGCAGCGAGGAGGAGGAGGAGGAGGAGGAGGAGGAGGAGGGAGGGAGGGGGAGGGGAGGGGGGGGGGAGGGGGAGGGGGAGGCGGAGGAGGAGGAGGAGGAGGAGAGGAGGAGGAGGAGGAGGAGGAGGAGGGGAGGAGGAGGAGGAGGAGGAGGAGGAGGAGGAGGAGGATGGAGGAGGAGGAGGAGGCGGAGGGGGAGGAGGAGGAGGGAGGAGGAGGAGGAGGAGAGAGGAGGAGGAGGAGGAGGAGGAGGAGGAGGAGGAGGAGGAGGAGGAGGAGGAGGAGGAGGAGGAGGAGGAGGAGGAGAGGAGGAGGAGGAGGAGGAGGAGGAGGAGGAGGAGGAGGAGGAGGAGGAGGAGGAGGAGGAGGAGGAGGAGGAGGAGGAGGAGGAGGAGGAGGAGGAGGAGGAGGAGGCGGAGGAGGAGGGGAGGGGAGGGGAGGAGGAGGAGGAGGAGGAGGAGGAGGAGGAGGAGGAGGAGGAGGAGGAGGAGGAGGAGGAGGAGGAGGAGGAGGAGGAGGAGGAGGAGGAGGAGGAGGAGGAGGAGGAGGAGGAGGAGGAGGAGGAGGAGGGTAGGAGGAGGAGGAGGGAGGAGGAGGAGGAGGAGGAGGAGAGGAGGAGGAAGAAGAAGAAGAAGAAGAAAAGAAGAAGAAGAGGGAGAGAAGAGGAGGGGAGGAGGAGGAGGGGGAGGAGGAGGAGGAGGAGAGGAGGAGGAGGAGGAGGAGGAGGAGGAGGAGGAGGAGGAGGTAGGAGGAGGAGGAGGGTAGGGGAGGGGGGCGGGGGCAGTCTCTGCTGGGGTGCCCTGCAGTGGGTCCTGACTGGGGACTGGCCCGGGCTGTGGAGGCGGCGAGACGTCGGACCTGAACCCCAAGGCCCGGGGGTTCCCCCTGTACGGCGGGTGCCCCCGGGCCAGGACGGGTCGGGGCAACGTAAGACTCGAGTTCGCCGGAACTCGGGTTTGCCGACGCGTGCTGACGAGCCCGTGCTGGATATTGACAGCTCAATTCTCGTGGGATGTCTGCAGCGGGCTCTCGCGTCGAATTTCAGACCGGGCCTCGTTATTTCCCTGACGGCCCCGTCAGGCGAATCCGAATCCTCGGGCCCGAGTCTTGCGTCTCCCCAAAAGGGGGGAGGGGGAGGGAGAGGAGGATCAGGAGTCCGTCGCTATTTCGGCTCCATCCAATTTGGCTCGACGGAGCATTCGCCCAAGGCAGACGCCGCCAGATGCCAGCGCCGCCCGGGCGCGCCGGGAGGCGTGCGGCTCCACGCGCGGGCGGGGCAGGCCGGCGGCCAGACCTGGGCGGAAGGGTGGGCGGTGCCCCGAAGTGATGCCAGCATGTCCTCGGCTGCGCGCGGGGCGTTCCAGGAAGGGCCTCGCTCTCGAGGGTCCAAGGAGTCGCCTCCGGCGGACGGCGGCGGCGGAAGGCGGCCGAAGGGAAACGAGGGCGGCTCCGCCAGCGGAGGCTGGCGGAAAGAGGCCGGCGAAATCCGGCGGAAGCCAGCGGACCCCGGCTGAAGTACAGGCTGTGCCCCGAAGAGATGCCAGCATGTCCTCGGCTACACGTCACAGTGACATTTCGCCGGAGTGACCTTTGGTCCCAGACCCTCTCGAATCATGAACACATCACGACGGACTGTTTCGCTCTTTTCGGCCTTTGGGGGCCCTTGCGGGGACTCGGGGCTGCGAAAAAACAATTCAGGATGAAAAACCGGTCCTGGGGAATGGGTCGAGACCTCTAGGGGTCGACGTTATGAAGAAATGGTGACGTCGGGCATTGGCAAAGCGTCCGGGCTTTTTTCTGGGCCCACCAGCATGTTCTAGGAACATGTGTGGTCTGCACAAGATGTTCCTAGAACATGTCTGGCTGATATTGTCCTGCTGTACTACACCCGGTTGCATTTCCTAGGAAACTTGTTTTTGTTTTTCGAACATTCGTTGGTTCTAAGAACATGCCGTGGTAGGCCTATGGGAATGCCGGGACGGTCAGTCCCTGCTGAGTTGGTGCGAGCTCGCCCCCTAGAAGCACCGCGCCAAAGGCCACTCCAGCCCATGGCCGCTTGCGTTCAGTCGAGTTTCGATGCTTTGGTTTCCGGATCGCGCCATACTGTCGACCCGCACAGTAAGGATGAGCGACTTTTCCAAGGGTGCCCTTGCATCCTTCCCCCATTCGGCCCATCCTTGGCCGCTACCGCTGGCCGCGCCCCGCTCGCAGAGTGTGGACATGGCCCTCCAGGGCCCTTGCATCCTTATCGTGCATCCTTATCATGCGGGTTGACTGTATCTGACTGTAGGCGCAGGTTCTGAGAGCCACCGGGTGTGCTGCTGCTCGGCGGTTCTAGGGTTCGTCCCCGGCCGCCTCTGCCTTCGCAGCCTCCTCTTCGCTCTTCTTGCTACCTCTCCTCTTCGCTCCTCCTCCTCCTCCTCCTGCTCCTCCTTCTGCTCCTCCTCCTTCTCCTCCTCCTCCTCGTCCTCCTACTCCTCTCTCCCTTCTCGCTCTTCCTGCTCCTCTTCTTTACGCCCCCGTCCTCCTCCTCCTCCTCTTCCTCCTCCTCGTCGTCCTTCTCCTCCTCCTCCTCCTCCTCCTTCTCCTTCTTCTCCTCCTTCTTCTCCTCCTCCTCGTCCTCCTCCATCTTCGCTCCTCCTCCTCCTGTTCCTCCTCTGGCGTTCATTCGTCTAACCTTTCTCCTCCTCCTCCTCCTCCTCCTCCTCCTCCTCCTCCTCCGTCTCCTCCTCTGTGTTTTATCCTCCTTTTCTTCCTCGCCTCCCTCTGCCTCCGCCTACCACCTGCTCCTTGCCCCCCGCCCATCTCTCCCTCCATCCTCTTACATCATTGGCAATTCCTCCTCCACTCTCCCCTCCTCGATCTTCGCACCCTCGCTCCTCTATACCTCCCCCCCCTTCTCTCTGCTCCATGCCAACCCTCCACCCCCCCCACCCCCTTCTCTCTCCCCCCCCACTCTCCGCCCCCGCCTCCTTCCATCCCAGGCCTCCC